TTACATTGTGAGTAGATCTTTCAGGAACATTCAGTTTGCCTCAGTTCACATCCTCCCTATAGACCTGAGTCAAATATTGGATTTAAAATCCAATGAGACATATGGTCCAAGGCAATAAAAATGCAAAAGCATCAGATTATATTAAAGGAAGCATGTTGCTTTAATGTGCTCGGTCAGTAAACATGCAGGCCTTTAATAGCCACAGAGTCCTATTATCATTCCACAAGACTCGATCTGTATTCAGCCAAGGGAACGAGTGAGGAGACGACGGTTACAGAGAAGCAGACTTAAGTGAGGACAAACATCACTCTAGATGCTTGCACAGTTTTCTGATGAACAGAAAGAAACATTCCCTACATCAAACCTTAAAGGGGAGGCTAAATATAAACACCCACATCTCAGAGGCAATTACAAATAGATGAAAGAGAGGACCAAGACAAACTTATCTGAATTCTTTCTCTCCCCTCCCAAAACTGCGTTTGATGGGATTATTAAATTAGCTGCTGTCAAGTCTGTTTAACGGCGTGGTCTCTATTTTTTAGTAGCTAATGTATATGGAGAGGGCTGCCAGACTTTTCACACTAAACTTCCACAATGATTAGATAAATGTTTGAAACAGAATTTTGTTACATTTTCTCAAAACATCTACTGGATGATACGATGCAGTCATTTCTGGTTCTTGTAAGTGATGCATGAACCTATTTGCAGCTTCTTTAGAACATTTTGCTAACAGAATCCATGATGAGTATCATGAAAAAGGTAAAACAAATAAATAAATCACTGAATTCACGCATTGCCTGCTCAGATTCATGGAAGAAGGGCGAGGTGAGGCAGTGATAAGCTGTGCATTTATTTAAACTGTGCATAAACAAATGAGCAAATAAAAATAAATGAGCTTTGCGTCAGCTGGTGTTATGTCGTTTACAATGACATTTGCCATTTAATTAAGTCCTAATTGGTAAAATGTTGGATCTTAAAGGCATTGTATGCTTTTTACCATGAATTTCCCTGAATGAAATTTGAATGTATAGTGCTAATTTCCAGAATAACCTGAAGCAATTAAATTATTTTACAATGAAAACATTTTATCTCGTTTTATAATAGCAAACTAAATTTAATGCAAATTAATTTAAATTCAAAACTTTGCTGAAGCATAAAATTAGCATTTTGTTTCATGATTTTTTTTTTTTTTTTTTTTCCAGATTTGTTCATGTAAAAGTGTTACATCTACAACCAGATTTGATATCTGGTAATATTCAAAGTGTGCATGACACTCATTTCAGTTTGCTGTGACAATTTGGACATAGACAGAGAATCACTAAAAGCATTTGAATTATTGACCATGAGCTGCATCATTCTGGTTAAATGTCTCTGCTGGTGTTATTTTTATTTGTGTAGTCAACTATTTATCATCAATGCCTCTACAGAGTGGGATATGAAGAGCCCTAAAATCACATATTCATACACATAAATGTCTTCAGTCTGAATTTGTAAAAATTAAACAGAAAACTGTTGTCTCCTGGGTTATGTACTAATTATTCATGCTGTCAATCTATGTTGATTGAATGGCTGGATGAAGTATTTTTTAATATAGCAGCAGCGAGACATAATGGTGATTATTATGAAAACTCCTACAAACAGTAAATTATTAACATATGTATCATAATAGAGGTTAAATAGGCTCTCCTTGTTTTGGTCTTATTTGGGAATAAAATCTGTCAGTTTCTGAAAGCATCTACAACTAATTATAGAAACTGAGGGTCAGCTGGTTCTATTTACCTTTTTAAATCTCATTGCAGCTCACCAATGTTTTGTTGAAATGAGTAGAAAATGGCTGTGCTTTTCCCTCCTTCTGCTTTAAAATAGACTTGTTGAAGAGAGGTTCTCTTTGATAACAATAGCAACTTTATCTTTACCTAAATATATGGATTAATATTCTATATGGGAGCAAAAAGATCTCAAAGGTTTATGCTGGTAACCTTACAAAACGTACTTCACACTATAATGCTTTAAATCTAACTTGTCTTATTTGTATTCATATCTGCATCATGCTGTAAACCACAGGGTTTCATTCTTATTCATCATGCAGTGGAAGATGAATATGAATGTATGGACTCAGAAGCCAGTTTTATGCCCTGAGCACCATAAGTGCTGCACCACACCTTAGAAAAATACAAAGGAAAACTCCATCACAGTCCTAACAACACTGCTTGACTGACAGGTAATCATATTTAATTTAGAATGGCAAAACTGCCGAAGTGACAGAAAAATAATGTGAATCTTGTACAGATAATCACCGACACAACAAGTAAAGAAATTCATATGCCTAGTACCTGTGGGCTGCAGAAAAGCCATTCCAGGCGAACTGGAGGCCATACTTAAGATTTAAAAGCCTGAGATATGGAGCTTCACTTTTCCGCCACCTCTCTTCTTTCGTACCCTGGAGCAATTTGGTCACTTCGATAGGAAGGGAATGAAGTGGAAACACAATTACTACAACCTCTGATTCTCTACAGAGCTTTGTCTGCTTAAAGGAGAGGGAGACATGCGACAGGGACAAATCAGATTAAAAGTGCTGAAAGACTAAGAAGATGCTAAAAAATAGTGCAGTAGCTTTGAACGCTCTGGGAAAGGAGTGGTGTAAGCAAAGTTTTAGGGTGAATGAACTTAACTGATACTTTGGTGTCTGTGGAGACACAAACACGGTGCATTTACAGATTTACAGGCCTGCAGCAAACAGGCAGGAACAAACACACAACGGCCATCTGCAACATAAAAACACTTTTTACTGCAGTATCTGTTTTATCTCAGCTGAAAGTCATTTAAATGTACTCTTACAGCTTTCAACAAAACTTACTTTTAAAGAGTCGTTTCAAGTTGCGGAATGTGACTTTTATAAAAAATAAAAAAAATAAAAATAATAAATAAATAAAAATATATATTTGCTTTACTGTGTTGTGACAGTAAAGTATGAGACAGATAAACTGTGATAAACAAATCAAACTGCTCTGCCTTCTTCCAGTGCTGACTAGAAAAAAACAGTCAGAGCCAGGAGGAGGTTTTACCGCTGTCAATCAGGCTCATGCATGTGCCGCTCACCCATTGCTTTATGCTCTGATACAACTTCTCCCCATCAGCAGAGCCTGTGGTGAGTGCCAATGCATGGTCACAGACGACAGTGGATAAAAGGTTTTCCTGAACCGGCAACTTACACATTTAGCAGCGTGTTCCCCAGTATGACTGACAGCACTAAAATGATCCTTTAGGCTGTGATTGGTTGTTTTTGGTCAGGTGTTGTGCTACTTTGAGATAATCATAGTCTTAGCAAATGCAGAAAAACCTAAAAGCTATACGGAGGCTTTTAAGCAATGCAGACATTTTACCTAAGTCCTGCTTTATATGTTGGTCAACTTCTATATTTCAAAAGAAAATATTGAACATTGCATTTCACTTTATGTTTCTTGCTTCTTCAATTTATGGTTGGCTAAATGAGCCTCCAATGCAAATATATGAAAAGGATGATCTCAATATGTTACTGCTTTTCATGTGAACATCTGTCATTTCTACATCCTACATATTTGGTGTAAATAAATAAAACTTTGGTTTAAAAAGATCTCTGCATCTGTCTTCTTTAATCCAGTGCCAATGTTTCCATCACAAATCCCTTAGCATAATTAAGAAAACAAAAGGAATTAGGGCTAAAAAAAAAAAGCTAATTACAGAACTTGATGGGCAATAATATTTCACTGTTCCCACTGTGAAATATTAAGAGGCAAATATGAAGACCGGAACCCCCAAGGGAAACACACGAAGAGAATCAGAAGGAGAGAAAGAGAGGCCAGCAGGAGGATTTATCTCTCCTCACAGATGCAAAGAGTCTTCCCAGGTCTCCCAGTCAGCAGCTGGGACAGTTTACAAGCCGCAGAATGGATTGATTGCCGATGGATCCATGTCCCTGTGTAGCTGCCAACTCTGAGCTAATTAAAGAACACTTCTCTGGAGAAACACAGAGCGCCAACCCAGTACATTTTATTTACTCTTGAGAAAGTCTGCTCCTGTACATCCCTTTTGGGGGAAAAATGTTGCCAGCAATCCCAGAAAGGTAGCTGCTTTGCTTTTATATATATATATATATATATATATATATATATATATATATATATATATATATATATATATATATATATATATATATATATATATATATATATATATATAGATAGATATATATATATCTATATATATATATATATATATATATATATATATATATATATATATATATATATATATATATATATATATAGTCAATCAAATGGATTGACAATAGTGCTTAAAATCAATGGATTTTAAGCACTTTTATTTATTTATATATATATATAAATAAATAAAAGTGCTTAAAATCCATAGATGTAAATTTTGGCAGAAAACTGGCAATTTTGTTGTTAGACAAGCTGAAATTATCTAAAAATTTGCATAGAGTGCTGGAACTGCAAAATAGAAGAAAAAAAAATCCCAACATTTATGCTATGCAAAATTGAACAAAAATATGCAGCTGCATTTGTGTCTTGTAGACAATACACCAAAATAACATTGGTCTTTAAAATTTAAGTCAGATAAAGAACACTGGAAGCTAATAAGAAAAGTAAAAATTTTCAGGACCTAAGCTGTAAAATATCTAAAATGTGACAAATTAGTCAGTTAAGATGAAGCAAATGTCAAAAAATACAACAGTCATCAAAAACTTTATAAATCTTCTTTCAGGAGCTCCAGAAACTTTTGTACTTGACCCCATTCTGTTCTGAATGTTCCTGATTAAGTAGCCAAACATGCAAACATAAGTTTACAGTTCCAGAAATCATAGTCAGGGTTTAATAGTTGGCAAATCACTTTGTGTATATTTGGCTATGAAACAAAAAAGTTGGATACTCTCAAATCTTGGCCTTTGATTGACAACAAATTCAAACGTGTAGAACTTCGCACCAGGTAAGCAGACTTACCGGTGCAGGAGTATTCATCCACTCTGGTGAAACCCAGAAGACAGTCACAGCGATAACTTCCAGGCAGGTTCACACACATCGTATTGGACTGGCAGTAATGCATCTGTGTTGCACACTCATCGATATCTAGAAAAACAAAAACAAAGCAGAAGTAGTGGGTTATTAACTGACCAGACAGCTTTATAATTTGGTAACAGACTACAACAGATGGATGAACTTCACTGAACTGCATTGTCAGTGTTAGTTTAATCACATTACAGCAGAGTCTCAGCGCATTGCATTTTTTTGAGTTGCTTTTCATTGAACACCATACACAAGTCCCAAATATTGACCCTTTTATTGATTGTCCTAAAGGGCAAAATAAATATTATCCTCTCACAGACCAGCATGGTGTAATTATACAAACTTATACATACATATATTCTGCTGTTGTCACAAGTAAGATCATAGAAAGGAATTAAGATATGGGAATGAATGGAAGACAGCAATAAATGTTAAAATGCACAAAAGAAAAGGTGTACAGTAAAGAAAGAGCGGATGAGATGAGGGCATTATAACTGAGCCAAAGAAATGCAAGGAGAGCATCATCTCCTTTGACACCCATAATGTGCAGGTAATATCGTGATAAATTACACACAATTCCTCCCTTCCTAATGTAGCTTGAAAGACATTGTATGAGCATTAAAACACGTGGCTCAGGAATACATTAGCTGAGCTGGATGGCTGCTGATGAAATGGGACGCGAAGCACACGAGGGAGGTTTTATGCAAACAGGTCTGGATTTCTATGTGTGTGCACATGTCGTTGCACAGTTTAGAGCATTTATGTGTGCAGCAGAAGACCAGATTCCTGAGGCTAACGGGCCTCTCTACCACTTAAGGGACTCTGCATGCCACACTTGAGGGAAGGAGAGTGAAGAGAGCTATTTCCATATCCGTTCCTTGGATAAATACATTTTAGCTTTGAGGTGTTCAGCTCAAGTTTCCTCTTTACAACAGGATGAATTTAGATCAACTATGTAATTGACTTATATGCAACACCCAAAGGTTTTTTCCTTGGTAAATTTCATCCCTAGAAAGTGTACAGTGAAAGTGGTAAATTGCCGAGTTAAGAAGAGACAGAGCATGTCTTCAGGAGTACAAAGCTTTGATGCCCTTCAGAATAAAAGGTCACTACATCAAAAGCATGAAACTTATGAGAGTGCTTTGACGCCACACAACAGTACCTGATTCCAATTTCCATCTTGTTTAGGAGCACTACTCTACCCTAAAAGCCATTCATTTGATTACCCTTTATAGGTGAAAGGCGCCAAAACGTTGTTCAAGGGTGATGGCAACTGCCCCGCGTCGCCGACTCAGCCTCAATAATTCAAAGTCAAGAGCTCACCACTTTTGTCAGCTTTCATTATAAGTGAGAAAAGCATCGAGTGTCAGGCAGGAGGAATGATGAGGCTTTTTGATCCATGTTGTTCCGAGACTCTATGCCCATGTGTGTGACTGCCTGTGTGTTTGTGTTTTTGCCCTCAGCATCTTCCTCTGGGGGCATTGTTGCAGGTGAGGTCTGCTGACAGAACTGGAACTGTCATTTTGCACAGGGGGGAATTAATTTTTCTGGATTTGCCAGTGTCTCTCTGGCTGCCTTCTTCCCTCCTCACCACCATCCAACACAGACCTCCTCTTCCTTGCCTCCCACCCCCCTCTGAGCACACTCTCTTCATCTCTCGGCTGCTTTATTCATGCTCTGATGTAGGTCAGGACTGGGTAGGGGGAACAGCTAAAAATAAGGCGGGATAGGACTCTGTGCATGTGTATTTATGAGTAAGTGAGGGTGTGCACATGTTTCTATCAGCTCAACCCTCTCTGTGTGATATTGTCTGGCAAAACAGAAAAACTGGAAAAAAAAACACATTTTGAATGTCAAGTGTTTGGGTGCTGTAAGCCAGTAAGGGAGAAGAATCCTCATCTTCCTTCATGCAAGAGTCTCCACTATGTGTAGGGCTCACCTTTTCATGTAGATGTTAAAATGAACATCATTCTATGCAAAATGATTTTATCTCATTTTTTGTGGACATTCCTTTATTTTTAGTTTAATGACCCCCAGTTTACTGAAGGTGTTACAGAAGGTATACATTTCATATAGACTTTTTTCTAAACTCCAACACATTTTTCATCTGTTTTGTTTTCTTCACCAAATGTAAAACAAAAATGTAAATTTTGTGAAAGTGTGATTGAGTGTATAAATTTCAGACAGCTATTTCCACTGAAGTAGCAGAGCTATTTCCATTGCCTTTCATAAAAATCAATCACATAACAAACTATTTTATTTTTCATGTTTTGTTTTTCTTCACTAAACCTAAGACTATGAAATTTGAAAAGACAGATTAGTGGAGAAAAACACTGAAACATTTCAGCACTTCCTGGGATGACAGAAGTTTTATGTGCAAAGAAACATTGATTTTTGAGGAGACTTTGACTAGGTAGAATATTTTCAGAACTTTTAAGCTGTCTTATCCTTAAGAAAAATTATGCAATTGATGACAGTTGACCTTGCTAGTATTCTGTTGTATGCTGCAAGAACTGGTAAAAACTTATAAAGTCCGTATAAACTGAAAACAATGAATCATCATTAGGGTTACGACAAATATAAGTCCAGGGACTGGTAGACCCCAAAAGTAAGAACGGGGGGAGGAATACAGGATATTTACAGGACCTTCATTCGTCATCCTCAGAAACTCATCTACCAGTCATGCACCGCCATTAAGATTTATTAATATTGCATTACAAAGATAATGCACTTTATCCGAATTTTAGGTTTTAACCAGGCACAAGGGAGAGCATTTGTGACTTCACATAGCTTGATTTATTCTTTATTATTATTATTATTAGTAATAATAATAATAATAATAACTGTAGCTCAATGATAATAATAATTGAGCTACAGTCTTTCAACAAATTCTCAGATTTGTAGCTCTGACTCTATATTTGGGTTTCTTCTCATCCTGGAAGGTGAACATCCGGTCCTGTCTCAAATCTTTTGTGGCCTCCGACAGTTTATCTTACAGGATTGTCTTGTACCAACTGCCATCTATCTGTCCATCAGTTCTGACCAGCTTCCCTCTTCCTGCTGAGGAAAAGCATTCTCACCACATGATATCAACATGTTTCACCATGGGGATGATGTGTTCAAGGTCGTGAGCAACGTTAGTTAGCTTTGCAGGTCGGCCACAAAGTTTAACCAGATCCCCTTCTACACTGTTTGCTGTGTCTCCAACATGGTAAGTGGTAAACTTTGAACAAGACTTCCTTTGGCACCACTGTCGTTTCTCCTGAGAGCAGATTCTCTATCCTGAGCTATTGATCTCTGCATCTCCCCCAGAATTACAATGGCCCTCTTTGCTGCTCATTTGATAAATGCTTTCCCTATTTATATGTGTGACCACATCATAGTTGAGGGATTAATTACTTCTCTAGTAAACCTAATTGACAATATCCAGCCCAAACATAATGTAATCCCCGCCCAACTCAAAAACAACAACCAAATCAGCCCAAATCACAACCTTCGTTGAAATTTATGTTAAAATTCATGCTAAGAACAAATATATAAATGCATATAAGCATATATAATGTGTACATGTACCATTTCATTGTGACGCTGGACATGACTATTAATTATTAATTATGTCATGTTCGGCAGATTCTAGATATGTCAAAATATATGAATTATGAAACAAAAGTAAGCGCATAGAATTTCATTAAAATGTATGAGATCTTTACTTTTCTGTCACAAAATGAGAATTATTTTCATTAAAACTTTCTGGAAACCAGCCACATGTTGCAAAAAGCACTCTAAAGTGCCCAAAGCAATATTTTTCCATATCAACATGTTTAAAAAAGTCATATCGGGTACAAATCAAATCTGTCTGGCCTTGCTTTTACCTTTTAGCAACTTTTCATCCCTGACTTGTGTGGTGTGCTATTTGGTCTTTTAATAATTCACTGGTTTCTGAAGAAAATTATTGCACTGTATTTCATTTAGGAATATTCTAAGGATGTGACTCAGTGCAATACATTGACTTGGTCCAGTTAAATTTGCAATGTCAAAAAAGCCTATTTTTATATGTATTTGTATTCAGATTTTAATTGAATTTAGATTTTTTAAAGAGATGGGTTTTGATTGTTTTAGATTTGAAATAACATTAAAATATATGTTGGAGTTGTATAAAACATTATTTAAATACTTTTTATAACATGTTCCACAGAATTGACTAAACTCTCCCTTGTTTTGTTTTTTTTTGTTTGTTTCACTAAGGGCAAACATTACAAAAGCTCAAAATATTAACATAGTACAGCCATTTTATCTGAAAAATTGAAAAAAATGTATATGTCAGAATTATGACCTAATCTCAAACTAAAACATCTACAACACCCTGAGACAATAAGCTGAGTTGACAGTTTCAACATAAGACAGTAGCATTCATAAAGTGGAAATAATTTTGTTTTCTGACACATTACTCTTTAATTATGATTAGTTTCTTCTGTGATAAACCTGAATGATGACATTTTGTAAAGAAAACATTTTATCTTCCAAGAACAAATTCTCACACCACAATTATTTAAGTAAACACAAGTTAACTCCAAATTCATGGGCCACAATATACACCACAAATTGATGTTTATGGCTTGAAGATACAATGTGTCTTTGCAAAACATGGCTCCATCTTTCTAATGAAAGCATTCTTTAGCAGATCACCTTCACACATTACAGGCACATGCAGCAACAACAATCCCCCTTTTGTATACCTCAACCTGTCAATTTTCATCACATATTAGGCATGACCTAGCAATTACAATCCATGATAAATGAAGCATGCACAAAGCATTGCAGACTGTTGCAATACATAATACATTAAACATCCTGCATAGTCTATTTCACTACGTGTGAAGGACTAATTATTGTTTTGTTTTTACAGAGGAGGAATTATTGTTTCCCATCATACATATCTTTGCAATTATGTCTATGTACTAGGGGTAAATAATTGCAGACAGTCATTGCAATAAACTCTAAATATTGGAGACTAGAGCAATTATTTCAAACATAAATGAATAATGTAGTCCAAAAAGTTTTAA